GGTGGGGTAGTGAGCCGTATGGTAAGGTGGAGTAGGTTGTGGACTGGACATGGAGGGAATTAAAAGATGCGGGTGAGGAGCTGCCAGACGTGGTGAAGAGTGAGGATGGAGACTCGGGGCTCCAGTCCCAGGAACTAGGAGCAGACCAGGGATTCAGGTTTCCCATGGGCAAAGTGGACGGAGAGCACCATGAATCACAGCAGTGGAGGCAGTATGGGTCGTATGTGGTAGAACCACAGTATGGTAGTGGAAGTTCAGAAACGGAGGATCATGTGTGATGGAAAAGGGTGGAGGGTTGACATGGAGGGAGTTGAGGCTCCTGGTTGGTGATTGCGATATTTTATAACTTCTTAAGTTCTTTTTAAGTGGCATCAGTGGAGTCCTTGTTAGATTGTCAACAACAGTAGGTTTTGTTTTGGATACAAATGTCTCTAAATTTAGGCTCATATATAAGTGAATAGCTTGAACAAGTACAGTAAAGGCATTTTTTTATGCCTGTTCAACAACAGCCATAAAAAATGGTTCATATGTGAAAACAACAAAATTATTTTTGTGTCCTTTTGCCTGATCTGTAAAGTTGTAAACCAGTGGTCCCCAACCCCTGGGCCGCAGATCGGCACCGGTCCGTGGGTCAATTGGTACCGGGCCAGACAGAAAGAATGCATAACTTACAATTATTATTTCTGTTTTATTTATTATCTGATTCTGAGTGATGTTTTATTTTTTGAAAAATTACCAGATTCACTCCGCCGCATCTGTCTATGACTCACACTTCAAGATTCTTGCCTCAGTCACATGTCTTACCTACATCCGCTACCTTCTTAAAAGGTCTGCTCCAGCCGATAACAAATAATACATTACCTCTAATTTTTTTCTATTATATCTAAAAAAAATACCTGTTTTTATGCCCGTCGTATCATTTTATTAAAGGCCGGTCCGTGAGTAAAATTTCAGACATTTAACTGGTCTGTGGCACAAAAAGGTTGGGTACCGCTGTTGTACATTATAGTTTTGTATGTTTTTTAAAGTTTACAAGTTTTCCTCGATTTGCCGAGGTGAAATAGTTTTGTTTGTTTTTATTTTTAAATCAACTAGTGCTTTTTAGAGCCAACACCTTGAATGAAACAAACACCCGGTTCAATGGGTTGTGATATTTTCCACTGTTGACTGGTCAGACGAGAATGAAGTGTATTTGTTATCTTTCGTGCAGCAGCACTGCTCAGCCAGCCACTGTTTCTGATCAGCACACTGATGCCTCATACTCACCGAATGTCATCCAAACTGAGGCTATTTCTGGAACAATATGCAGAAGGAGTTAGTGGCAGGGCCAAGGGGCCACGTACACACCAGGCCCCCAATCTAGAAACAGGGCCTTAAACCCCTTTTGGCTCAGATCACTTCACTTGGACAGTAAAGAGTGTGATACAGAGAATGTTTCAGTATTTCTAAGTGAGTTGGAAAGCAAGTTAAAATGTCAAAACTAAAGTTTCATTAACTTAACAGTAACAACAATTCACTTATTTTCTAGCAGGGTAAACCACCAAGGAAGCATTATGTGTTTTATTTGCACAAAATGCCCTTCAGGGACCTTTGGAAAAACAAAAATCTTCTACAGTTAAAATTACCTGCTCAACTTGGAATTCCTGGCTGGTGACTCAGCGCCTCGCAGGAGTTGACGAAAGTACTAGAAAAGTATCAGAAAAGAAGAGAAATAACATTTTTATTTTGTTCTATCTCTGAGGAACCATTATCTGTAAAGTTTATATCTTCAAAATAAAATTAATAATTCCTAATATGTTTTAAGAGAACATGAACATGTCTCGGGTTTCTCACAAAAAAACGATTGTCACTGACAAAATTATTCATGCAGCTCTGTGGCCTGCAGCGGACAATGGCTGAGCAACAGTGCACCCAGCTGCATTCAATGAAACTGCCGCTGAAGGGTGAAATTTAGCTTGGCAGCTTGGCATAATGGCAGCGACAGCTCATTGGCTGGTTAGGCATCTGGCATTGGTGATGGACTGTAGTACATTTTGCATAGGACACTAAGAGGACAGAACAAAAGTGGGATCTCTAAAAAAAAACTGGATTTAATGTTTGTAGCTCTCACTGTTCTCACTGTTGTAGAAATAAAAGTAAATGGCTGTTTACTCTGCAATAAAACAACTGCATTTTAAAGCAGTCTCTACAATATCAAAGGAGAGGATGCAGATCAGATTCAAACAGTGGCCCCTGGGCCACACATGGCCCGGACACAGATTTATATTTGCCAAGTCTGTGGTCGTTTGAGAAATGCAGAGAGAATTACAATTGCCGAGTAAAGAGGAATATTCACAGTCACACAGACCATGTGAACGCAGCACTCTCTGTAGCCTAGCAACATGCAACCCATTGCATCACTTGTGTGTCTAGAAGTGTTAGCTGTTTACTATCCAGCAATATGTCCTTCTGGAAGCAGAACATTTTAAATTATGGATGAAAACTGTCAGTTTAACTCGGTGTGAAATGACAAATACTTTTTTTTTTTTGCCCAACAAACTCCAAAGGCAAAGGCTCTAAACCGATGTGTTCATGCTGGAGCTGTCAAACTAATCAAATTGTTAATCTCATAACTCACAGGGTAGCGAGTAGTGGATTTATCACAATGGTCATAATTAATTGTGATTAATCATGATTAATGACTGGAATTTCCCAGGTTTGCATCAATGAAATACATCTATCTGTCTAATTATGATCTTGGTGATGTATTTCAATTAATCAAAACATATCAAAATGACTAAATTTGAACTTTTTCTGTATATTTCTGGAACAGAACATCAAATAACAGCAGGTAGATTAATATGTTTTGGAGCTGTTGCGACAAATCCAAATGACTGAATTATTAATGTAAGAAATATTCGCCTTGGCTGAATTTCCCAGTTTATAAATCTGGTTAAATTTATAATCTTATAGCCCAGACATACAGTATAAAATTGATTATTTACTTTTATTGAGCCCAGGCAGTAGTTCAGTGTAGTTATGCTGTGTCAGTAGAGTTACTTATTATATTTGGTAATCCAAACTGCTGACCTCATCGCTGTGACAGAACATGGGAGTGAACACGTTCTCCAGGAGGGACAGGACATGCTCGTAGGCTTCAAACAAACACCTCATGGTCTGGAGTTTCACCACTTCCTCATATGGGCCTTCTGCAACTACAAAAAAATAATTTTAACTAATACAATCTGCTTAGAGGAATTATTAAACACCATGGACAACTCAGAGAGAACCTACTGTTGCGTATTTCTTCCACGATAAAAGGGTCAAAGCGGATCTTGTCCACACTCTCGTCCAAACAGTAGGTCTCGTAGATCTTCTTCACCTCCTCGTGGAGCATCATCTTGGCGGAGTCTGACAACTCCGGGCACAGTATGCTGTTGTTGAATTCCTCTGAGAAATTAAGAGTCACACAAATCAAAAGTTCATTATGTCTCCCATTACTTTAGCTGATAACCTTTTTTACTAAGCTGTTAATCTACTTTATGTTCTATTTTCCGTCTGGCTGTCGTCTGTCTTCAGCCTGCTCCACCTAAGACGGCCATTTTAATGCTAGCGTCTGCTCTGTCTGACCTGTGGTCACTGCTGATTAAACATCTCAGCATTTTTAATTTCAACATTCATATCAGCGTCCTGTCTTCTACGCCTCCCCGCCATCATCTTAATTACATTTGCTACAGTGTTTCTGATAACTTTACCTGATTTTCAACAGGGGTCGCCATAGGAACAGCGACGTTTTTCAACCCAATCTCAGATTGAGACTACTGTAGTTTGTGACCAATCTAGATTTTTCTACATGGCAGTTAGGGCTCCTAAGATTATCCAAACCTAATTTTAACAATTTGAAAAGACTGCAGAGAAAAGTCACCTGTGAACACTTACCAACTGCTAGGCAGAACTGTAGGACGTGCACGGCTCCTTCTTGCTTCAAAAAGTTCATGAAACGAAAAAGCAGGTCTTGCTGTTCTCTGATTTCTTTCAGTTCGAGTTTCAGAACCTGTTGAGAAAAAGAACCAACAGAAAAAAAAGTCAGATCATCAGTCACTCAAGGGTTTGATTGTATGTATGTCATAAAAGGTAGTATATCTCAATATACTCATTAGATAAAAATAGGAAAATTACATATTTACCACTCAGTGCTTTGACAAAAGAGAAAGAACTCACCGAGGACTTTTTGTTGCGAGTGTCGGCATATTTTTGGAGGAAAGGAACCAGTGCTGAAGACGGTTCTGAGGCGTCCTCGGGCTTAGGTTGAAAATAAGAATAACAATACGTATTTGTTTATTGTAAATTATATTTTTTATGGCACAAATTAGACACAGTGTAATTCTTGAACACAGTGGTGCTGTATGAGGGGGTCGGTAGTTATAATGGTTAATATAATAGAATATTATATCAACACATAAATAGGGGCCCAATGTCATATCCTTCCATTGGGCCAAGGATTCAAAATTACAGAAGTTTTCATGAAGATGATATAAAGAAAACATAAAATCAGGCTAAATTAAACATGGTCATGTTGTTTGCAACTAGTTGGTGTCATAATACTGTATTTTCTGGACAATAAGTCGCACCAGCCAAAAAAGCATAATGAAGAATAAAAAAACACATGTAAGTCGCACCAGTGCCCTCTAGTGGCTGTCAGTGTGAAAAAACACATGACATGAACTTGTATATTTTAATATAAGTCGCACCCAGGTATAAGTTGCAAACCCAGCCAAAGGATAATAATAAGTGTGACTTACAGTCTGGAAAATACAGTTACTGTTGACAAAAAGCAAAACTGTAAAGTTGTGTAAAAGACAAAAAACAGCAGTGACTAAATTCAAAGTTCACTTACAGGGGAGTTGTCGATGAAAATCAGAACTAAATGGTTCACTGTGTCCTGAAACAAGAAGAGAAGACTTTCTTAGTCGCTGCATGCTGCTGCCCGCTGAAATGAAACTGAGCCCTTGGTGCGTCTACACTCACAGGATCAGCCAAGTAGTCCATTGAAGGAAGGAAGACAGAACCAGCCAAGACTTCTCTTATGAGGAGAGTTAGAGATCTGAGAGGAGTGAGGAGATGAAGGAAGCAGGAAATAAGAAATAGAAAGACAAAAGCGTGGTTCTGATCTACTGCTAGTGTGGTGCCCATGCTGTTCCTCTCTAAGGTTATCAAGTATGCAGATGATGTAATGTTTTGACACTGTGGCTTTTACTGCCAGTGCTTTGTGTTACCTGCAGTCTGTAGCCTTTGGGGGCAGGATGTAGGGGAAGAGCATCTCCGTCAGCTTCCTGAGGTACAGGAGCTCATCCCTGCGACTGCGAAGGGCGACATGAAGGTCAGCACCATACTCATCCAGAGCAGCCTGTTGAAGAAACTCTGTGTTCTTCACTACAGAGCAGAGCGAGAGTGAGTCTGCAGTCTGTGGTTTAAGGATATATGACTTACGGATATATTTGTATTCAGAGAATCAATTCAACCTTTCTGTCTGGCTTTGCTGATTATCTCAATGTGCTTCATGGAAACTTTAAGAAGCTTTTTTGTGATCATTGATGCCACATCCACCTGACGTAATACAAATGTATTAATATTGTAATATCACTCATTTTTTAAAGTTCAGGATTTTTTTATATCAGGATGTTACCTTTTGGGTTCGCCGGACAAGCACAGCAGCAAAAAAACGCAAAGTGATTCTTAGCTCATCAACAAACCCTTCATCATCTGTGATGTCTCTAAAAACAACAAAAAAATCAAAATATTTATTTTTTAATATAACAAATGTTACGTTTTAAAGGTTACTGTTTCTTAGACTAGGTCAAACTGCTTACCTGTACCAGGGATACACAAAATTTTCTAGAACAAGCTCCAGAATCTTGAGTGAAAATAGAAAATAGAATAGTGTATAAATATAGGTTCAGTTTATACACATTTTTTTTAAAAACTAAAGCAATTACATAATAAAAGATATTACCTCTGAAAGAGAGACATCCACTTTTGAAGGAATCTTTAGGTCAAGCCATGGCTGATAATTCTCAAGTAGTAAAGTCGGTCTGTTGGTTACAAGAAAGTGTTATGAATATCTCTGACCACTAGAGTGTAGTATAGGATCTTTTTTCACGTGAAAAAGTAAACCGCATCTGAATACAATATTATATTGATGTCAACAAATGTTACTACACAAAATTGTTTTACCAAATACTAAATATATATTTTGAATTAATCACCCACTAAGCAGTAAAACATACAAACTCACCTGTGCCTTTTGCACTTGATTTTACCACAGACAGCACAGCTGTGCCCCAGTGGAAACAGCTCCTGCTGGTATGACTGCAGGAGAACGTTTGGGAAAATATAAAGTTAATTACGTTTAGGCTTTGAACCTAACACCAAAATAACATGATGG